TAGTGCCGAATCTCTATATAACTAAGTTTCCGAAATCCATTTTCTTGAATGACATTTAATTTTGAGTCATTTAAGCTGAATTAATCCAGGTTTGTTTTCATGTTGCAGCTAATTTTATTCAGCGCTTCTTTCCATCTGGTTTGTGACGTTGTAATACAGCTAATCGGTTAGTATAAATGGAGCACTGTTATCCCTGTTTTTCGATTTACATTTTGGATTTACAAGCTTGTACGATTTACATTTTGGATGCACGTGCCTGTATGCTTTACGTCCACGAGCTGAAGATTCAACTGTTGAAGTCCAAGTTTGAGTGCTGTCCTGTTTTCCAGTTGTAGCAGATCCTAGTACCGTGGAACAGTGACGAGTTCCTTTCCCGCTAGCCAAGCGAGTTGCAGAGTTAGTTTTCCACCTTGTTGTTTATACGCCGAAGTCGCTCGAATTCTCTTAACGCTTATTTCCCCGATTTGTGCTTGGAAGGGCAAAACCTATCGTCACAGAAGCACCAAGGGTGCGAGCTTTTATAAGGGTGCATGATTATCTGGAGGTGTGCCTAGCTCACAGGATTTTAAATGACCTGAAACACTAGTTTCAGCATTTTTCATGAGGTACTTCTTCACAGAGACCTATCTCGATTAATTCAGTATAGACGAGGCTATAGTACCTCGTCATTACTCTTTCTAGTGATCGTATATGGTCAGTAGAGGTGCAAGGAGGAGACATTTCAGACATTCGAACGCGAACTGAAGCACCAGATCGAACCATAGATAAATAACGCCTGCTATACGTAGGCGCATACGAGGAGGGCCAAACTGACCAAAATGGACATATTTAGGACTTATAAAAAATCTTCAGACATTCAAAAGGGTAATCAGAGCAACTGCGTTTATTTTAAGGCTTTAAGCTTGCTAAATTTGATTAAAATTAATACGCGCATTGTTTTGATTCCAAGTGTGGCATAACCAGCTCAATTATCTACTCGCACCTGACAAAGTATCATAAAGTACTCACCCACTGAGAAGCAAAAGGTAAAAACCAATACGGAGGCAAGGGAAGTATTCATTTTGTTAGGAGTTGCTGGAGAACAGAAGATTGAATTCGAACAATAAGCCACCTTCAAAGCCGCACCTTAAACGAAGCCGTACTGAGTAGAAAAACACACCCCTTTATTTATACATTGAATTAAAGGACTGGTTCACGATAACCCGCGTGTGTGAGTTCTGACAGTAACTGATTATGGATTAAACTCCTTCAGATATTTCGCCACAAAACAATGGAACAGTATTCCAAACGAATTACGATTAAGAGCTGGAGGACCAGAATTTAACAAACAAGTGAGGAACATTCAATTTTAGTTATCTCATTTTGTAATTTTAGATGCTAGATATTTTATATTTTTACACTTCTATGTACATATTTTCTTTCTTTCTTTCTTAATATTGATTTGTGGAAAACCTGCAAAATAGCTTTAGCTAAGTGTTTCTCCCACGTTAAATAAAGATTATGTTATGTTATGTTATTGCTTTTAAACCAATCGGAAGCGAGTTAGATGCACGCAAGTAAAAAAAAATTCAAATTATACCGACATTTTACTTCAATGTTTACTTTTGAAAGGATAACTAGTTCCTGAATAATTATACTGACCTTGGTCACTGAATAAGTGGATCTTTCGCCTGCTCAAAAACCAACCGTTTTAGTTTTTAGTTTTGACATTTTAAGGAATCCTGAGTAAAGGAAACTCGAATTCTTTTTGCACAGCTTTAGTGCTGAATCTTTGTACAACTAAGTTTCCGAAATCCATTTGCTTGATTGACATTTAATTTTGAGTCACTTAAGCTGAATTAATCCAGGTTTGTTTTCAGATTTCAGCTAATTTTACTCAGCGCTTCTTTCCATCTGGTTTGTGATGTTGTTATAAGCTGAGCACTGTTATCCCTGTTTTTCATTTATATTTTGGATTTACATGCTTGTACGATTTACATTTTGGATGCACATGGTTGTATGATTTACGTACACGAGCTGAAGATTCAACTGTTGAAGTCCAAGTTTGAGTGCTGTCCTGTTTTCCAGTTGTAGCAGATCCTAGTACCGTGGAACAGTGACGAGTTCCTTTCCCGCTTGCTAAGCGAGCTGCAGCGTTAGTTTTGCCCCTTGTTGTTTATACGCCGAAGTCGCTCGAACTCTCTTAACGCTTATTTCCCCGATTTGTGCTTGGAAGGGCAAAACCCTTCGTCACGGAAGCACCAAGGGTGCGAGCTTTTATAAGGGTGCATGATTTTCTGGGGGTGTGCCTAGCTCACAGGATTTTAAATGACCTGAAACACTAGTTTCAGCATTTTTCATGAGGTACTTCTTCACAGAAAGCTATCACGATTAATTCAGTATAGACGAGGCTATAGTACCTCGCCATTACTCTTTCTAGTGATCGTATATGGTCAGTAGAGGTGCAAGGAGGAGACATTTCAGACATTCGAACGCGAACTGAAGCACCAGATCGAACCATAGATAAATAACGCCTGCTATACGTAGGCGCATACGAGGAGGGCCAAACTGACCAAAATGGACATATTTAGGACTTATAAAAAATCTTCAGACATTCAAAAGGGTAATCAGAGCAACTGCGTTTATTTTAAGGCTTTAAGCTTGCTAAACTTGATTAAAATTAATACGCGCATTGTTTTGATTCCAAGTGTGGCATAACCAGCTCAATTATCTACTCGCACCTGACAAAGTATCATAAAGTACTCACCCACTGAGAAGCAAAAGGTAAAAACCAATACGGAGGCAAGGGAAGTATTCATTTTGTTAGGAGTTGCTGGAGAACAGAAGATTGAATTCGAACAATAAGCCACCTTCAAAGCCGCACCTTAAACGAAGCCGTACTGAGTAGAAAAACACACCCCTTTATTTATACATTGAATTAAAGGACTGGTTCACGATAATCCGCGTGTGTGAGTTCTGACAGTAACTGATTGCTTTTAAACCAATCGGAAGCGAGTTAGATGCACGCAAGTAAAAAAAAAAATTCAAATTCATTATTCGCTTCGCGAGAGTTTTTCGGGCATTTGGTTTGATTTTATATATCCCCATAATTCCAGTTTATTCTTTGCTACTCCTCAGATATACGTTGCAGCCGATAAGAATAAGATTTACAGCCCTGTCCTGCTTTGAAAAAAACATTTACCGGCGTGTATTTTTACGAGGTCGCACCCACGCTAACAAAGCAGTCACCGATCGGCAAACAAATTTGTAAACAAACATTCTATTACTGTTCACTCAGTTCGCCTTATATAAACCCAGAAATACCTACAAATAGCGCCTGACCAGTGACAAAAACGCAAAACGTATGAGTATAAAGATTATCCTTAATAGACCATTTTACAGTTGTGGGCGTAGTATCCTAGCCTTTGAGTGAACGTGAGGCTGAGGTTGACCTTGTTTTGATACAAACCGCTTTCTTTTTCTTATGGAAATTTTGCTGAAAAAATAATAGTTAGCATAACAACAACATGATTTACATAATAACAGATCGAGCGGCTAAGCTTCTCTATCTCCAAAGACCGCCTTGAGAAGGTCCAGTTGCCGGACGGCCACGATGCTCTTCTGAACCTCCATGATTAAAACATTATTTTTTGCGTCTTCTTAAAACGTAACCAGTCAGACAACACAACCACACGTTAATCACCACTGCCGAAGTATAACTAGGCCAGCCAAAGCGGCGGATGTCGGAATAAAACGAAGGATTTTCAATGATTGTACCCAACAAATTTATTTTGAAGAGACAAACGGCGCGCATGCGTATAACCGTGATCGCGTCTCTTTAAGGGCCTTCAGGCAATAAACGATCGCAAAAAGTTGTTTGAACACGATATCCGTTTCTTAAGTACTGCATTCCTACACGTTCAGCTCGTGCATACTACACTACGGCGGCTGCAAAGGCAATTTCTCGCGCCACTTTTCCAGTATTTGATCCAATATTTTACATTAAATTCATTTAAAAAAAATGGAGAAATATGGAGGGAGCGGGGTCCCGGACTTGGCACAGGCGGAGCCTTGGAGATTTTAACGCAAGCGTTGCAAACGTGCTCCAAACATCTTGTGAATCGGAGTGAGTGGCGAAGGAACGACAAAGATTCACAAGATCGACGAGCACGGGAACGCAAAGCATAAAAACTTCCCTTAGTCTTCAATACACCCTTTGTACCACAAACATGTTAACAATTTGAGCTCCGAGGAGCGAAGCGACGCCAACTTATGAATATCAAACAATGAAACACAAATACTGTATTACACCATCTGTTTTCATTTTTGAGCAAGACCGGGACAATTTTTTAATAACATATTTTGGTGCTCAACGCCAAAATAATATATAGATTTAGCCACATCTAAAAGCGAAGCTCCTATTGATAAATTTATAACTTAAATCAAACAATAATTTTGTGTTCCACAAATCAGTTAACTTAAGGGCACATTCATGTGACTTTTGAGGGAAAAGCTAAGTGATTTTGGAGTGAAACAAATCTTGTATCGCGTTGATATAGCCTTATATGTACACCCAAAAAATAGTCTTCGGTCACATTTAAGAGCAATAATGGCTCTTGATCACAGTAGATATTAAAGGCGTGGAAAACAAATTCTTGGAAAACAAATCAGGTCGAGTTTTTTGCGTTCGACAAGTTTACAAATTCTTGCCAATAAATCTGGGTGCGTGCAAACCATTCTTTGATTTATTTATTTTTTTATACACCACATCTGAGGAGAAAGAGTACTATGAGGCGCTGTTTTTATCATACAGACCTCGTACAAAATGCAGTATTTCACAATGTTTCAAGACAAATTGCATTCATTCAATACTCAGGACCATCGAAGCACACGTGGACTTTTAATTAACGAAACCGTTCAAAACATGTCCAAAGTCACCTATATGGCCAGCCGGTTCTAACTTTTGACAAGCGCCAACTTTTGCGAAGAAATTTTAAAAGAGTTACGCTTCAACGTGATAAAGAATTTTTTATTACTGGTTTTATAACGACGTGTAATCTTAAAAAGCGTTTGATACGCTCGGCATTTTGAGTACTCCTACAAGCGATGTTTATGAACGCCTGAAAACAAACGGCAAAGCAATGAAAATTACACTTTTGAGACTACCAACAATCAATAAAGAAATATGATTCGGTAGAACATTTACAGAGACAACAATTTTCATTCACGAAAACAAATACGTATTTAAGTGTCCCTAAGAATCCTCATGTCTTTACTAGTGAGCTTAAAGATTAAGTTTATGTTTTAAGCCGCCGGTTTCCCGGTGTTTGCTTTTTTCAAAGACGAACTCACGACAAGAAAATCGCTCAAAGCTTTCTTTCTACAGCCAAAATTATAACTGATATTCTTCGGAAAGTTTTTTCTTTCTATTTACGGGGAATTAATATCGACTAAAGGCTTTTTAAAGTTCTGTAACCTTAAGCTTATATCAAACCTCATACTAGGTCAGATCAGTGTCTCAGTCAAATCTTAATAGAAACGTGCATAAACTAGCTTCATAAAACTGCGCCGCTGGACTTCATGAAATTAGATATAAATACAATAATTACTCAGGCTTACCATATTTCGAGATGCAGCTCCTGAAAGCTGTCAGGTAAGGCAAGGATTGCTTAAGCCTTTATAATCCTTATAATTCTCGTACGCATCCAGCAAGGTGAAAAACAAAAACGATGCCATCCGAAATCGGATTATCTGCTTTGACAAGCGACGCATTTCTCAACCAAAAACCCAATAAACAAACCAGCCATGAATAAGAGAACAATCTTGATAGCAGCTGTATTTCATTTTTTTACATCCAGTGGAAAAAGACAGTTAAAAACATCACAAGTTGACTCAAAACTCTGTCAGCTTCAGCTGTCAAAGTAAACAACTTTCAAGATGCTGCATACATTTTACGCATGAACAACACCTGTCAAATTTTAACCAATCAGAGCATAAAAATTGGACGTGGAGCGTGACCAACACGTGACCATGGTTAGAAAAGGTCTTCCCCGCCTGTATTTTAAAAAAACTGGCTGAATTTTTGCGTCTGAGGTCAGTTTGAAATCAAAATCGTAATAGTGCGGGGCGATACTGACATAAACACAACATATTTGATATGAATTTTAAAAAAAAGTAAACGTGAGCCTGCGATCATTTGAAAACGAGTAAATTGTCAGCGGATAACTTCAAAAAATACTCGACCTTGATGGATCGACACCTAAGCCCGCGATACGGTCAGGTGATACTGGTCAGCGGATACCCTGTTTTGACAGCTGTCAATTGATGACAACATTGATGTGCAATCAGCTTTCTCCTGGGCTCCCAAAGTAGCTAGAAAGCACCTGGCTAGAAAGTGTGAGAGTAAACATTGGTATGCCTGTGGTGTGGACGGACGGGCGGGCGGGCTGAGGGCGGTGTAGGGTCACGTGATTACCAAATTTTCTGGGATGGGTCACCATAACCCAATACACCCCTTTGAACAAAAACACCGTGTCAGCTATGAAAATCAAACACCGTGTCAGCCGTGAAGAACAAACACTCTAAACAAATACTACACTACACTACCTGTTTACAAGTTGCGTTTATCCAGTGTCTCCTATTCTATGCATATGATGATACAAAAATATTGTGTGACATTCTCAGAAAAACAGGAAGACTATGATGTAATCTTTGGGCAATTCCCCCACAAACAGCAAAGTCTTGTGATTCATCATGTAATTTTTTTAACCAATAACAAATTAACCCTTAAATTATATATTTGGTCAGCCTAGTCCCTAGGCGTTCTCTCTGGCCCCGTTGTCAGCGCCATGTCTGGGAAAGAGCGGGCGAGAGAACGCCTGGGCCAATATTCTCGGTTTTCACTCACATGAGAAAGCAGAGATAAAAATGGAAACCTTTTAATGCAGAAAGTCTAGAATCTGGGAAATGAAAGAAGATAAATATACAAAAAGCCTTGCCAAGAATCAGGTATATGCAGTGGTTCATATGCGAGATATTCGGAAAAACGTTTTAGCGAAATTTACAAAACTTTTAATGGAGACGCTATGCAAATATGGCCGCCGGAAACCAACAGAAACATCTGCTTTTGAGTTTTCCTATTTTTCCGTGAATTCTTTGCTTGAGGAACTCATAAGATTAAAGCAATATTTATTCTAAGACAAGGAATGTTTAGATAGTAAAATCTGCAAAAATCCGTAATGTTTTTAACCCACTTAAGAGCTTTGCCGGCCGCCAGCCAATTGCCGCGTGACGCAAAAGCCTGGAAATTCAAGCGTCCTGGGCCCGGTTGCATAAAACGCGCGAAAAAATTACTGGGTACGGGTACGTGCACTCGTAACTTAAGTCAGTTGCATTAAATTACTTAAGTGGTCCACTTAGGGAATTAACTTGTAAGTGGTTGCACTTACGATTTTTGTAAGTGTTCACTTAAGTGTCGTTTATGCAACAGAAATTGCAGGTGTTGCATAAAACCTTTTTTAC